CACGGCGGAGGAAGCGAACGGCATCCTAATGACTTGCCTGCTCTACCTCATACAGCTACACTGGTTTAGAAGGTAGTCATCCAAGCTTGAACTATTTTAACATTTACAATGTCACAACGGTTTTTCATACTTCAGGATTGGAGAACACTTTTATCGTATTTCGTAAACTCTTTAGACGGAAGATTAAATTAAGGTTGTTCTTTTTTTATATATATGAAGACATTTTGTTCTTTTATCATTTTGGCGGGGAATCAACCTGTTGTACAGTTATAGGTGTTATGTATATATGATCATTTTATGCACTTTATTTGTATCAAATATTCCCTAGCTAGTTCCTAGTGGTTTGAATGTTAGTTCAACGCTTGATTAGAGTTGTTTATATGTGTTCCATTCAAATGTCTTATTACTTTAACGTATAGTTGCTGAGATAATAAGTATTTATAGTACCTGTTGCATACTTATATGGTATGTAACTGTGTTATGATAATAAGTATATAAACCTTTATATTCTACTTTGCACTGGTATCAGAGAGTGCATTGTTTTGACAATTTACGTTAGTATCATCTGTTTTTTGATAACTAAGATACTTGTTTAGGTTGCTCTTTAGTATAGATAAGATGACCAAGTAAGAGCTTGGATTGTAGTTGTGGTGACTAAATGATATCTTTAAAATTGGATGATGGGTGAAACAACGTGTGAATACTAGCAGTTTTTCACCTGTAGTTTCAGTTGTTTAATGTAGTACAAAATTCCTCATAAGTCATTACTTTATATTAGAAAATGTCCCGAACATTAAGGAATCTGTTGAAGTTATCTAAACTGGCCAGTTTTTATATTACACTACTTATATATCCATGTTGGAAAACTCCAACGACTTAGATGTTTCGATTTAGACATGTAGTATCCTATGAAGATAAGCCTTAGCATAATGAAAACATGCTTTCAAACTGCCAAGTTTAGAATTAGGATTTGTGTTAACAACGTAATACGTCGTCGCCAAGTGAACAGTAATCATATCACACCACGATTCACAATTTAAACGCTATTGATTAAAAACCTTCCAACAAACATTAATTTGTTGTAATGTTTTATTTACTATGACATTATAAAAATAAGGAGCAGTTCTGTTATTTTCTTTAAAACAACAAAGATAAGCAATGTATTTTGTATCATCGGGAGAAATTACGTTTTCAAATTGTTTAACTATCAACGTCATTGATACGATATACTTTTTTATGAAACGTCGCTCAAATAAAAAACAAAACAAAAAACGTTTTTGATGATGTGGCAGTCTCGCTTACTTAAAAAACGTAATACTCGTAATAATGACGAGTTGTGACAGTAAATACATGAGAAAATAGGGTACAAAAATTGAATTTATAAACGAGATCAAATCAGAAATTGTCAAAGAGTAGTCCAGTAATTCTTGATGTCGTTTATGAATGGTGAAACCTCATTTATAGACGGTACTATTTAATTAACTTATATTTATATATATAAAAAAATAACTTTCGCAATAAATCTAAAGCCTATTAATATTGATATGTTAGAAGGTAGAAAAAGAGTAGTTGTAGATATTGTTACGAAAGCGGTAGTCACGTGGCGCTGGTAACACGTCATGATATTCTAGAAGATTCCCGAAGAAACGAGATGTACGCTTTTTGTATATATAAGACCTGTAAAAAGTGACGCAACAAGGGAATTGAATTGCAGACAGAGATAGAGACGAACAATTGAGTCAAGCGCGTGAATCGTTCGTTGTGTTTGTTTGTTTGTTTGAATTTATGCACAAAGCTACACAATGGGCTACCTGTGCTCTGCCCACCACGTGTATCGAAACCCGGTTTCTAGCGTTGTAAGTCCGTAGACATACAGCTGTGCCACTGGGGGGGGGGTTCGTTCGTTGTGAATTATAGCGTTTGTTTAAGTTATAGCGTGACTGTGGAAATTAAGTGTAATACAAAGTTGTATTGAGAAATAATAGACTAGTTTTATTTAAGAAAGGACTTGTATCGCTAAAGTTTCTTCGGAAAGAATTTTTACGGAAAATTAACAAACGAACACAGAGGCGTAACAATATAAAAGTAAAGAGGTGTAGACATATCGATAGATATATCTATAAAAATGCTTCCGTGGAAATTAGTTTCGTCGCTTTTTATGTGTTGACTTAACAAAGAACGGATTGAAAGATTTAAATGGTTTGAAGAGACTTGTTTAATAATTTGTACTAATCTAGTTTTCACACTTGACGTAATAACGTCTGTCGTAGTCTGTAGTCTTCCACTGTTACAGTGTTATTTGTTTGATAACCTTGTCAAACCGGAGCTTTAAGAATTTGGTGTCGTGCGATGACGTTAAGTGGAACATCATGATTCATGTCGGATCTTGGCACGTGTGTTGTGATGTATCAAACGTGCAGTGCATGTATTATTGGTGAACACGTATCCGGTAGAAAACAATAAAAGGTACGAGAAAGTAATAATATAGGAATTATGTCCTTTAAACGTTTACGGATTTTCAGGATTTTAAGACCAAAAATAAATTATGATAATATGTTGCTGTTAACACTAACTTTAACTGGTATAAATGAACTTTTGAATTGTATAACTCTCATAGAAGATATTTAAGATAAAAATGATGCTAGTATATGCAGTGTTACTACAATAAAGACATTTTTTATGTAACAATCAAAATAAGTATGAATTTTCACATAACACGTGTTTAAGAAAGTCTTAAGTTACTTTCGCTCTAATTACCTATTGTTCTGTGTCATTCCCCAGGGATAATACTTGGTCTGCCCATGGGTGAAATAAATGTAAAGTTGTACTTTTGAGTATGAAAGTAAACATTATTTCCTTCAGTGAAAGGCCAGATAGTAATTGGAGGTTACAACCTTCTGTATATTCTAATGGGAATGCAAGTTACGTGGGTAGCAGTTATTCCTTTTATTGCAACCAAGACAATCAGAAAATAAAAATAGACTAAATCCAGTAAAAGTGACCATCTTTTATGTCAAGCACGTACACTGTCTTTGTATAAAGACTGTTTATTTTATTTTTTGTACAACTGTGTCAATCAAGTCTCATTCTTTCTTTCTCATGAACTCACTTACTCAGAATTACTTTCTGGTAAATACTTTAGTGGAATATTCTGTTATTTTGCAGATCTCTCATTTCACTTTAAGAGAAACAAGTTCAACTTAAAAATACTACAATGTTTGATATTTTAATTAAAGGTCCATTAGGCTTGGCCTACACGTTGTCTGGCTGGTTGACCTATATTATCTGAATGTCTTGATAGCTAATAATCAGCTTTGAATGAAATTATACAAGATACATCAGAAAAAAATTATATATTGTTAGTTTAACTTTGGTCATAATTCTTGACTATCATCATATGATCAAGGTTACCTCGTTTGTTGACTATAGCTTATTTTTATATTTAACTTTCTTTTTCTTTTATACAGAGTGAGAGTTAACTATGTAGTTTTTATTGACAAGAATTACAATATTTTTACAAACATTTGTATTAATATAACATGTACTTACCTCTAGATTTGGTGAAAAATATTAAGCTTGGTGACTTTTTGTGTTAATTTGTGATTTCAATTTTCAAGTTAATTTTTGAGAAAGAAAGTGACCTGATTAGGAGTGAAAACACAGTAATAACTAACATAACTCTTTCTTCTGTATATTTTGTGGAAAATTGAGTTCTTGAAAGTGTAATAATATAAATTGTTTGTGGGTTAACTATAGTTCTTGAGTTCTTGAAAGTGCCATAATATAAATTGTTAGTGGGTTAACTATAGCTCGGTTAGTCAAGTATTTCATTGCAGTGGAAGTAGTCAAATTCTGCTTTCTGGAGACTGGGAAAGTTAGATTATCACAGAATTTGAAGATGTTATTATTGAATGTCTATGAGTATGTATGAGTAATTATTGGAAACAAAACAGGTAAGGATACAAAGAGTATAGAAAAGATAGAAGAATCTACTCAGTTGGTGAATGCAGATCATTGGAAATTGAATCCTTTACTTTTCTTTGGTCTTTCAATTAATTGTCCAACCACCAAAGAGAGCACATGCAAATCAAGTAAAACACAACTGTCCTAAATCCACTTGTACAATGTTATGAGTATTGATGAGGTAGGTCAATGAAGATTTGCTTAATAATGACTGAGATGAAAACTGAAAAGCACTGATATGGAAGAGAACAAAAAAGTTGAACAAGATGGCAGTATCCAGTCAATATCTCATAAAAAGGATCATCACAAGTTGGATTATTCCTGTTTTGATCAAAATAATCACTAAATAAATATCTATATATATATATATATATATATATATGTGTGTGTGTGTGTATTTTTGTATTAACCCTATGTGCATAAGCTGAGTTAAAGTGCACATTCCATGACCTTTTACAGTGCCATTCAACATGGTATTATATATTTAATGTCAGAGTTCTCATATATTCATATTTGAACATACACTGCTGGTATAGTGATGTTTCACAATAGAGGAGAGTAAATATTAAATACAATATGTAAGGTTACTGAAAAAACTGTAGATGTGCACTTTGGAGGTCCTAGAGTTATGCAAATGCAGTGTACAAACAGTATGCTGGGAAAATATTTTTCTTCTTCCCATGAAAATCACCTTGTACTCTGTTTTCTCAAGTCTGAGTCAGAATGACATCAATTCACAATCAGATCTTGAGAACAAACACTTATTTAACACATTTGATTTTTTTGTGCACAATAGACTTGTATCTTTTACTGAAAGCTTGTCACATTCAAGGTGATACACATAGTAATTTTGGAATTATAGTCAACATTACTCCTCCAATATGGGCTCAGTCCTGTTGACTGAGTCCATACACTTTGGGTTAAGAAATATGATAATCTAGATTTTTCTGTTATTTCATAACATATAGTAAGCTCTCTCATCAAGCTTGCGTACTTGTAAGTTAACATCAGCATATAAAAATATGGTCTATCCCTAGGTCAGCTCTTCAGACACTTCACAAGGTTAGCGACAAAGCCAGAGCCTATAACTATTTCACATGTGGAGGAACACACCAGTGGATTGAGTATTATGAACAACGTATTCAGTCAGATCAATCCTGCCTGAACGAATGGTGAGACTTTTAAACAAAAACACTTAAGACTTAACCACATCTATTTTTATATATTATATAAACAGTTTAAGCTTGGTCAGAAAAACTTTTGACTTATAACATAATTAACTTGGGCTTATTGAGAATCACCTTCTTTCTGAGACATGAACTGTTTAGATTTAGTCAGTGTTGCTGTGTCTGTAATATAACTACTTTAGATTTGACCATTTCATTCCCTATCTCTTAAGTATTCTTCTTTGTGGGTATTTCATGCTTCTCTGTGATTTCTGGAAATTGAAGTTGTTAAAAAGTGCCTTACTAGTGGGTTACTTGTTTGTAGTGCAGGCAGTCCTGTGTGTTCAAATCATGCTCAATGGAGGCTCAAAAATTGAGACTACCATAGCTTTTGAGTAGACTGTTATTGTATGTATATAAGTATGCATGTGTGATTATTGAGGACATTTATCACCAGACTCACTTTAAATATTCATCTATAGATTTTACCACAAACAGTTTCTATTTATAATATAAGATTTAACAAAAGCTACTTTATATCTGTTGTACAAACATTATCGGCTTACACAGAGATACTTTCTGTGTGGAACATAAATAGTTTAGGCTTAACCTGAATAATTTCTTTCCATAATATAAACATTTGTGCCTTGACCATAATCATTTTGGGACTATTACATAAACATTTATGAATTTTGTTTATAATTGATATACCAGAAGATCGATGTCTACAAAATTGCTATGTTATTTACACAGGCATATTATGGGAGATCTGCAGTCCAAAAGGCCATTATGTATTGATGAAGCAGGCTTCACGTAAGTTTGCACTCTTTTCCTAAAATGGTGTTTAGTTCAATGAGATTTGAAAATCATGTAAGTGGCATAGTTAGGAATCATATATTTTAAATATGTTCTATGTATTTTCATTATACTGAATTTTGAACTAAGGACAGACTTATAAATAAAAAGAGACATTTTTAACACTGTAAGGTTTTGGAAATATATATGTATATATATATTGTATATCTTGGGTAGAACTTAACATTTTTTATTACAAGAAATTAAGAATAAAATCAAATTAATATATAATTTTTTGAAACTTATTGTACTGTAATGTTATCAGACCAACAGAAAAGGAAGAAACCCAGAAGGTGATTCGTGGGAAACTGAAGGAAATCATGATGTCTGTGGATCTAGAGGAAGTTACTAGTAAATATGTAAGTATAGGAATGAAAAATTGGAAGTTTTTTTATATGTGAATCTAGAGAAAGTTCCTAGCAAGTTTGGGATGGACAAATAGGATGTCTTGGGATCTAAGAGAAAATTTGTAAATAGGGAAGTATGAAAGAAACTGTGGAAAGATACAATGCCTTTGAATCTTGAAGAAGTTACTAGTAAATACTTAGATGTGGGAGAA